GTCTTCGTCGGCACTACCCCTTCCGAGCTCGTCAAACTTACCATAACTACCCCTCCGCGCACGCCATCTGGGAGTACCTCAACGACCGCTTCCTCAACAAAACCGCTGTGGGGGTGGCGATCCTCATCCCCCGCATGTTTCAAGTGCGTCTGGAGGAGTGCCCCTGGAATGGCAGATTACGTCGCTGAAATTCAAGGGATTCATCAGGAGCTGAAGCAACTCGGCATTGTCTTCCCAGAGCAAGCCCCTGCAGCAGCTCTGCTTGTTGGGCTGACCCCCTCTTACAATGTCACCCGCTCCATGCTTCTCCATCTCCCGCCAGAAGAGCTAACATTTGCCAAAGTCTCTTCCGCACTTCTCTCTGCTGAAAAAGACAACACTGCGCAGGCTCGTGCAAATGCGCTTCGCGCTCCTGTCCCGGCTCCAGCATCGCGTCCCAATCCGCCACCCACTCGTAACCGCTACCCACCCTGTCCTTACGTCATCAAAATGGGACCCCGTGCGGGTCAGGTGTGCGGCGGCACCAATCACCCGCTCGCCACCTGTTTCAAAAAAAGGACGACGACTGGTTCGCCAAGAATGGTATCAACTCCAAGCCGCCCAACTGGCTTCGCATGCCGCCAGCTCAACCAGGTTGAGGCACAGGATAGTCAGGACTCAGCCGTTCATGCCCCTAGTCCTGATGTTCGTCTCAACCTGTTGTTCCCTGGCCTTCCATGATCAATGAAACCAGTTCCCAGTACTCGACGTCTCCACAAACACCATCTAAACCGCTTGAATTCGTCCTGGACAGTGGCGCAACCCACACAGTCCTCCGAGACAAAGAGTCTTTCAAACCATACCAAGCACCCATTCCTCTTCTGGGCGCTGACTCCAGCTTCACAACTGTCGCCCATGGTTCCTCCACTCTTCCATGCCCAGCCTTCCCATCTGGCACAGTCACTGGCATATGCGTGCCCACTCTTCGGCACAACTTACTTGCACAACATGAGATTCAACGAGCAGGGGTAACCACTATCTTCCCAGCTCATTCCAATCACTGTGATCTCCTTCAGCCCACCACCAATGCCCTACTTGCACGCTTCACACTGACCGCCAACAACCTCTACACACTCCAAGTACCTCCATCTTCCACAGAAGCACACTCTACCTCCACCACATCATCTTGCTCCTGCCGTCAGCTCACCGATCCAACCATTCTTTACCACCATCGTCTTGGGCATCCCAACTTCCGCATGCTCTCCGAGCTTGCGTCTAAGAAGTTGCTTCTTCACCTGGCCGACACACTTCCTCCACCCTCCACTTCTCCCGCTCCTCCATGCTTGGACTGCGCGCAAAGCAAACTACGCCAGTTGCCTCACCCTTCCTCGCCCTCTGCTGCAGCCGCCCCGCTTGACCTCGTCCACATGGACGTCTGGGGCCCAGCTCCAGTCCGCTCTCGTGGCGGGCACTCTTACTTCCTAGTGCTCGTTGACGATCACTCTCGCTATGCCTTCGTCCACCTACTCTCCTCCAAAGCAGCTGTTCCAGATGTCGTCATCGCATGGCTTCGACAAGCCCAAAATCATTTCCGCACTCCAGTCAAGTGCCTCCATTCCGATGGCGGTGGCGAATTTCGAAACCATTCCCTTCAAGCGTTCTGTGCCTCCCAAGGCATTCGCCAGACCTTCACCCTTCCCCACAGTCCGCAGCAGAATGGCATTGCCGAAAGTCGCAATCGCACTCTCGTGCAAATCGCTCGCTGTCTTCTCACTCACGCTGGTGCACCACCTTCCCTTTGGGGTTACGCCCTCCTTCATGCCACGCTGCTGTACAACCTTCACCCTCACCCTCTTCGGCCTGCCATCACTCCCGCTGAACTGTGGACCGGCACCAAGCCCAGTGCACGTCCTCTCCGCGTATGGGGGTGTACAGCTTATGTCCTCCTCAACCCTCAGGAACGTCGCACCCACGGCGGCAAATTTGCACCCAAAGCTCAACCCTGTGTCTACCTCGGCCACAACCTGGACTCTCCCGATTACCTTTTCCTCAATCTCTCCACCAATCAGCTCATTCGTAGCCGCGATGTCGCCTTTGACGAGAGTCGCCCTTTTTACCTCTCTTCACCACCCCCCACCGCTCCACCTTCGCTTGTGTGGGCCGATTTCGATACTTCACCCACCCCACCTCCTCCCTCTGCCGCTCCTGCGGCCCCCTCACTCTCACCTTCCCCATCTCCTTCCACTCTCTCTCACCCCTCTTCGCCCACTGGCTCAGTTGCCCGTTCACCTCCGCCCGCGCCTGCACTTCCCCCTGCACCCGCTCCTGCAGCTGCCCCTCCACCTCCCTCTCCTTCTGTGGCTCCCCCTGCCCCCGCGCCTCCCTCCCCGCCTTCACCTCCGCTTCCGCCTCCAACCTCCACCTCTCCTCCCGACTCGCCCATCACCTATCGTCGCCGTCGCCACGGACGCTCTTATGTCGATGTCCCACCTGCTCCCCCGCCACCTCCCTCCTCTCCTGTCCCTATTGCTCACCACACCCGCTCTCATGGTCCCGCTCCGCCTCTCGCCCTCTCTGTTCGCATCTCCCTCAATCCGCCTCCTCCTGCCGGGGGTGCATCCATGCCTGGCCTCTTGGAGGATAGGCATGAAGAGCTGATTGAGATCAATGGTGCCATCCGTCAGCTCTGCCATCTCTTCCCCGACCTTGCCGACGCTCCAACTCTTAACTTCTCGGAAAATCCATCCATCCCGACCCCGAACTCATATGATGAAGCCATCTCTGGACCACACTCCCCCCAGTGGCTCGCAGCCATGATCGCGGAGTGTGAAGCATTCATTCGCAACAACTCTTTCACGGACGTCTCTCCTCCGCGAGGAGTTAACATTGTCCGTGGCAAATGGGTTTTTCGCGTCAAGCAGCTGCCTGGCGAACTCCCAGTCTTCAAGGCGCGATACTGTGCAAAAGGCTTCACGCAGAAGAAGGGCCTGGACTTCTTCGACACATTCTCTCCGACAGCCAAACTGCCCACACTTCGGACCCTGCTGGACATCGCTGCTCGATGCAACTTTGACGTTCACTCCATGGACGTCTCTGCTGCATTTCTCCAAGGGGATCTCCCCGAGGACATCTACATGGAACGTCCTCAAGGATTTCCCTTACCCTTTCCACCCGGCACGGACTGGAAGCTGAATCGACCAGTCTACGGGTTGAAGCAGGCTCCTCGGGAATGGCACAAGAAGCTGAAGGCAACCCTCGAGTCACTCGACTTCCACCCCTCCTCAGCCGATCCGAGTCTCTTCATTCGCAAGAACGACAACCCGTTCTTCATCCTTGTCTACGTTGACGACATGATTCTCGTCTCCAAGGACTCCGATCAGCTGGCAGCTGTTAAGCAAGCTCTTGGGGACGCTCTCGCCATGAAGGACCTCGGTGAACTCAAGAACTACCTTGGGATGGAAATCTCGCGGGATCGCGATGCTCGAACCATCACTCTCTCTCAAGAGTTCTATGTGAACAACGTCCTCAAGCGTTTTGCCATGGACAACGCCAAGCCAGTGGCCACTCCCCTTCCCTTGCAGCATGATCTGACCACTCCATCAGTTCCATCGCCTGAGCCTTGTGATGAGGCATACCCCGAGCTCGTCGGATCACTCATGTATGCGATGATGTGCACAAGGCCCGACCTCGCCTACCCCATCAGTGTGCTCTCGCGTTACGTTGCTGCCGGTCGATACACCAATCGCCACTGGTCGGCTGCTAAGCGCGTCCTTCGCTACCTCCAAGCCACCAAGGACTACGTCCTCACTCTCGGTGGCACGACCCCTCCTCACCTCGAGGGATACAGCGACTCCTCATGGGCTGATGATCAAGCTGACCGCCGCTCTTCCCAAGGCTATTGCTTCACCCTTGGCAGTGGTGTCATCAGCTGGCGATCTACACGCTCATCATCCGTCTCATTGTCATCTTGCGAAGCTGAGTTATACGCAGGCACCATGGCAGCCCAAGAAGCTCGATGGCTTACCTACCTCATGGCTGAGCTCGGGTATCCTCAGCAGACCCCGACTCTGTGGTGTGATAACGAGAGCACTATCCACCTCACCAAAGATCCTGTCTTCCACCAACGAACCAAGCACATCGAATTGAGACACTTCTTCATGCGCGAGCTCGTCCAGCGAGGGCAGTTGTGCGTCAAGCATATTTCCTCTGACTGCAACCTCGCCGACTTGTTTACAAAGGCTCTTGGACGCCGTGATCACTATCGTCTCCTCCGTACCATGGGACTTGGCGTCCCTACGGCTTCCGACGTTGCAGCCTAGGGGGTGTGTTAGAGATAGGCTGCAATTCGGTTGGCACAATTTTGTGTGTTGACACTTTGTTGGTTTTAGGGATACTCATATTTGTTAGGTTGGGTGTAGCTATGTTTTCATCCCCAACCTATCCCAACCCAATCCATCCCAAATCCCCACGATTTGGGAGGATTCCCTTGGGATTCCCTCCGATTCTCCCTTATCCCTTCCCATCCTCTCCGATGCTCGGTACTTAAGGATGTATGCTCTTGCTCATTTCAATCAATCAAGTTCTCAGTTTCTGATAACCAGATCTGCCCCACTACCAGATCTGCCCCACTACCAGATCTGCCCCACTACCAGATCTGCCCCACTACCAGATCTGCCCCACTACCAGATCTGCCCCACTACCAGATCTGCCCCACTACCAGATCTGCCCCACTACCAGATCTGCCCCACTACCAGATCTGCCCCACTACCAGATCTGCCCCACTACCAGATCTGCCCCACTACCAGATCTGCCCCACTACCAGATCTGCCCCACTACCAGATCTGCCCCACTACCAGATCTGCCCCACTACCAGATCTGCCCCACTACCAGATCCGCCCCACTACCAGATCTGCCCCACTACCAGAGCTGCCCCACCACCAGATCTACCAAACCACCAGATCTGCAAGAGCATGCCTAATTACCCGTGTGTGCACCCACCCACCCTTCCTACCCTCCTCCAGATCTACCCCACGGGCGCCATGTCGCAGTACGTGAACAAGCTGGAGGTCGGCAACTTCATTTCCATGCGAGGGCCCAAGGTGAGCAGCGGTGGGGAGGGGACAGGTGAGCAGCGGTGGGGACAGGTGAGCAGCGGTGGGGAAAGGTGAAGTGGGAAGTGGAAGGGCTCGTCATCACCTTCACTCCAATCGTCTGCAGCACACGTCTCGATCAGAGCCTCTGGAAGTCAGGCTTCTGCAGGGTGACTCCTAGGGACATCGGGAGGCACAGTGCTGGTCTTGATGCTCCCACAGTGCTGCTGTGCCGCCTCCCACAGTGCTGCTGTTCCGTCTCCCACAGTGCTGCTGTGCCCCCTCCACAGTGCTGCTGTGCTGCCTCCCACAGTGCTGCTGTGCCGCCTCCCACTCTCGCCCCTTGTCCCCTTCAAGTACCGCCCTCCTAGTCCGCCCTCCTACTCCGCCCTCCTAGTCCACCTCAAGGTCTCTTCAGGCAGCAACGTGCTTGCAATTGTCATGTGCGTTTCTGCTGTAGGCGCTTTTCTTCTTTATTTATTAAAAGAACACGACAAGCTCATCTTTTACTCGTCATGCACGTTGCTTGCTGTTGTGGTCACGTTTTGAGTCGCTTCAAAATTTAAGTCCCGCCCAAGTAGTCTACCATGCACGTTGCTCCTGTGGTGTTTGTTTCCCCCCTTTTATTCGACTAAAAACTAGATTACTATGACTAGCCTACCATGCACGTTACTCCTGTGGTGACAGTCGAGTCACTTCAAAACTTTCTGCCCCCCCATATCCTATCAGCCTGCCAACCACAGTGTGTCCTACTTTTGGGGTGGCTTTTGAGTCGACTCAAATGTCACCTCGCTACCTTTGAGGCGCCTCTAAAGAAGCTTTCTGCCCCGTATCCTATCAGCCTGCCAACCACAGCGTGCCCTGCTGAGTCCACCATGCGCAGTGCTACTGTTGGGGTGACCGCTGAGTCGACTCAAAAGTAGCCTCAAAGCTTTCTGTCCCATGTCGTACTAGTCCTACTAGTCTACCATGCAGTGTGTTTTTTAGAATTCTCAAAAACACCCTGCAAACCATTCTGCCCCTTGTCCTACTAGTCTACCATGCGCAGTGCTACTATTGGGACGCATTGAAATCAGCCCCTTTTTTTGTGAGCTCTTCCTCCCTCCCTCTCGCCCCTTGTCCCCTTCAAGTACCGTCCTCTTGCCCCTCTCCTGGCTTCCCTCCTCAGGGCCGTCGCTTCAAGTACCGCCTCTTGCCTTCTGAGTCGACTCAAAACTTTTTTAGTCGACTCAAAACTTTTTTAGTTGACTCAGAAGTTTTTTTTTTAGTCGACTCGAAGGTCATCTCGCTTCAAGCACCGCCCTCTTGCCCCTCCCTCACCTCGCCTTGAGGGTCGTTGCTTCAAGCACAGCCCCACCATGCGTCTTGCAATCGTTCCAACATTCGAATCGAATAAACCCCCTATTGCCCCCCTGGCGTCCCCCTGGCCCTCTTGCTCCTCCCCTGGCGTCCCCCTGGCCCTCTTGCTCCTCCCCTGGCGGTCCCCCTGGCCCTCTTGCTCCTCCCCTGGCGTCCCCCTGGCCCTCTTGCTCCTCCCCTGGCGTCCCCCTGGCCCTCTTGCTCCTCCCCTGGCGTCCCCCTGGCCCTCTTGCTCCTCCCCTGGCGTCCCCCTGGCCCTCTTGCTCCTCCCCTGGCGTCCCCCTGGCCCTCTTGCTCCTCCCCTGGCGTCCCCCTGGCCCTCTTGCTCCTCCCCTGGCGTCCCCCTGGCCCTCTTGCTCCTCCCCTGGCGTCCCCCTGGCCCTCTTGCTCCTCCCTGGCGTCCCCCTTCATGGTCGTCGCTTTAAGTATCACCCCAACATGTCTCGTGCGATTGTCTACACCTTGTGTTCGATCTTGCCCATGCTTACCCTTCCCCTCATGTGCCCCCCAATGGTTGTGACCTTTGAATAGAACCTGCCCTTTTATACCCTCCCAAATCCCGACCACCATCCCCCCACCCTTTCGTACCCTCCCGAATCCCGACCTCCTCCCCCCGCCCCCCGCCCTTTTGTACCCTCCTGAATCCCCCCCCCCCCCCCCTCTCCCTGTCCTCCCGTCAGGAAAGATTCACATACCGCCCCAACATGTGTCGCGGGCAGCCTCCAGATAAACCCCTGCCCCTTTCTTTACCCTCGCTCCCTGCCTCTCCTCCTTACAGGGGAAATTCAAGTACCGTCCCAACATGTGCCGTACGATGGGCATGATCGCAGGAGGCACCGGAGTGACCCCCATGTTTCAGGTGGGAGAGTGTTGACTGACTGGTTGTGCCCTCACGTGCATGGTCGCAGGAAGCACTGGGGTGGCTCCCATGTTTCACGAGGGATGAAAATGGCCCATGTGCCTCTTGAGGGGCGGGGCTGATGGGAGAAACGCTTCTTATCTCTGTTTTTGGCATGTTAAGTCAACTGGAAGCAGCTCGATTGAAAACATAGATGACAGACGGTAAGTTGTAGATGACAGACGGTAAGTCGTAGATGACAGACGGTAAGTCGTAGATGACAGACGGTAAGTCGTAGATGACAGACGGTAAGTCGTAGATGACAGACGGTAAGTCATAGATGACAGGCGGTAAGTCGTAGATGACAGACGGTAAGTCGTAGATGACAGACAGTACGGTACATCTTTTTGCTTGCTTGCATTCCCTTCTCCCACTCCCCACCAAAGTCTCCCTGCCCACTGGTGGCCCCCCACCCCCTTTTTCCCTGCTATCTAAAAGAACCCATCTGCCCACATGACAAATCCGGCCCCCTGTCTTCCCCCATCCCCCCCCTCCCTCCCTCCCCGTCCACCCCACCATCCTTGCCCCAATCAGGTAGCTCGGGCTAGTCTGGAGAATGCATGCGACCGCACCAAGATCGCTCCCTCCCACCTCCCCCACCCTCCACAACTCCCTGCCATCAGGTGGCTCGTGCTATTCTGGAGAACCCATCTGACCGCACCAAGATCTCTCTCATATTCGCCAATGTCACGGCCGACGACATTCTGCTCAAGGTACGAATGCTAGGACATGGTGCTCTCCAAGGTACGAATCTAACAAGCACATTCTGCGTCGACACCGAAGGCAATGTCACGGCTGACGATATTCTGCTTAAGGTGATGATAATCAACCACGGTAACGGCTAACAAAGCCGTCAATATTTGCACAAGGTTCGATGACAACTGCTTGCTACCACAGCGTTTTGAGTTTTCTCAAGGCCGCCATATGCCTGCTCCCCTTTTGCCTGCGCCCCCCCTCCCCCCGCTTCTTCTTCTCCCACGGTCCAACCTTTCCCAACCTTTTCCGATCGTTTCCAACCTCTTCAAACCTTTACCAACCTCTTCAAACATTTTCCAACCTCTTCAAACATTTTCCAACCTCTTCCAATCTTTTCCAACCTCTTCAAACCTTTTCCAACCTCTTCCAACCTTGTCCAACCTGCCCCCCACAGGACGAGCTAGAGGCACTGCAAAAGTCAGCGCCTGACCGACTCTCCATCTACTATGTGCTTAACGAGGTATGTGTGTAACGAGTTATGTTGTGAACAAGGTATGTGCTTAAGGAGGTATGTGTGTAACGAGTTATGTGCTTAACGAGGTATGTGCCTAACAAGGTATGTTCTTAACGAGGTATGTGGTTATCGAGGTATGTGTGTAACGAGGTATGTGCTTAGCGAAGGGTGGAAGTAACATGCCTGCTCCTCTTGATCGCTGCTATCCCACTGCATTCACCCATCTGCCTTGCTCCTCCCCATCTGCCCACTCCATTCACCCATCTGCCTTGCTCCTCCCCATCTGCCTTGCTCCTCCCCATCTGCCTTACTATCTCACAGCCGCCGGAGGGGTGGACGGGGGGAGTGGGCTTCGTGACCCGCGACATGATCAAAGCGCACCTCCCTGCTCCTGCTGCTGATGTCATGGTATGTGCTGCTGATGTCATGGTACGTGCTGCTGATGTCATGATACGTGCTGCTGATGTCATTGTACGTGCTGCTGATGTCATGGTACGTGCTTCAAGTGTTATTTCCCTTCCCTGCACGCCTAACCATGCGCTCCTTCCCACACAGAGTCCCAAATGTTATACGAGACGTCTCATAACACAGCCAACCATACGCACCTTGCCACACGCAGTTTCACATTGCCCCTGCCTACTCACCTTCATTCCCAAGCCTGTCTTGCCCATGCTCCCTCCCATTGCACTCATTCCCTTCCACCTAATGATCCCATTGCCTGTCTTCCCATTGGCTGTCTTGCCTGTCTTCCCATTGCCTGTCTTTTGAGTCGACTCAAAATACAACTGTCTTGCCTGTCTTCCCATTGCCTGTCTTGCCTGTCTTCCCATTGCCTGTCTTGGTATTTCGCAAACATGCTTTTTGGACCTAAACCATGTCCCATTCATTCCACCTCCATGCTTTTTAAATCACCTAATCATTCGCCTCGGGCTGACGCCCTCTGCAAAGGGACACGCGTGACGCCCTCTGCAAAGGGACACACGTGACGCCCTTAGCAATCAGGGTACATTCAACACACATGTCACCCCAGCTTCCGGCCATCATATGCCCCCAATTCGAAACTAGGTGTTTTTTTTCAGAATTCTAATAAGAACACATATTTTGCGGAACTTTGGGTCTTCTGGAATGGAGTAAATGATGACCGCCCCCCTGCCCCCTGCCCCCTGCCCCCTGCTCCCTGCCCCTGCCCTCATTCCTTGGTTGCACTGTCCTGTCCTGCATCCCTCCAATCGTGCACTGCCAGGTGGTGAGGAGCGGTCCCTCTGCAATGAACAAGGCCATGGCTGCCACCCTGGAGGAGATGGGCTATGCGAGTGACTCGCTTCTTCAAGTTCTAGACCTGCCTCCACTGGTAAAAAAACGTAGGAGCAAGGCCAAGGCCACTGGTGAAAAAGTTTAATGGTGAGTTGCAACCCCCGATGAACAAGGCCATGGCTGCCGCGCTGCAGGAGCTGGGGTACTCCAGCGACTCCCTCTTCCAGTTCCTAGATCCAGGGCGGTGCAGTGCGGTGTATCCCCCCTCACATCTCTTCAGCCCTGCAGGCTGCAGGAGCTGGAGTACCCGAATGACTCCATCTTCCACTTTAGACCTGGCTTTGGTAGGTAGATGGCACATACCTGGTAGATGATTGAGTTCATTTAGGTGTACACGGAACCGAACGATATGTATGCTCTGTGAGAAACTGAAGTGATGATTGAATTAGAAAAGGAGGGAGTGTATAGGTGAGGAGAGGGAGGGGGGGTTTGGTTGGGAGGTGGCCAAGATTATTGGCCATCCCAATAAGTTGGGTTGACCAACTTATTGGGGGGTCCAATAATCATAGCCAAGATTATTGGAGGGTCCAATAATCCCGGTTGGGATCATTGGGGGTCCAATAATTGGGAGCCTTAACTAATTTGGGGGACCCAACCTCCAACTTGGGTGTGTACACCCAAGTGAGGTGCTTATAAATACCTAAGACAATGAAACAATGTAGGCTAATAGAATGAGGAAGGTATAAGCTAACACAACCCCTTATCCTACAGAGTGCCATAAGTCTTAGGTACATGAAGAAGCAACCCCTGAATCAGGTGGCCACCGGGGAGGGGGGAGGAGCAAGGCCCAGGAGGCGGAGGAGGGCCGCGTGGGGACGGCGAGGGAGAGCCTTGGTGAAGATGTCCGCAAGGTTGGTAGAAGAGTCAATCTTGGCGGACGGTGAGGTGCCCGGCCTGGACAAGCTCACGAATGAAGTAGTGGCAAAGCTCGATATGCTTGGAGCAGGGCCTCAGATTCGTTTAGAGGCACCCTGATAGCTCAGAGTCCCCTGTTAGAATGCAAGAATGATAGACTAGTGTGAGAAACCTAGAACATATACCTATTGGGGTTGTACTCACTAGAAGCACACACCTAGGCTAGCCTATAACTTCTACATGCATCATATGTATAAGTTGACACACCCCCTAGGCTAGAGAAGGGGTGATGCTAAGCAAGAAGCACACAGCTCAGGGAGGCACTACTAGTCCAACCTCTGAGGCAGGGGTTTGGAGTCCAGTCAGCAAGAAATACAAACAAGACTAAAGCAAACCAGGGCGGCACTACTAGTCCAACCACTGGAGGCAAGGCCACAAGGCCAGTCTGACAGGTATATATAGTAGAGAGTACACAATCAGGGTCCTAACAAGTGAGTAGCTACAGGAACAAGACCCAAGCTGCACACAGTGCCGCTGATGATCTTTAGGCGCAAGCGCCTTCGTAAAGATATCAGCTGTGTTGCCACCAGAGGCCAAGTGAACTACGCGGGCCTGGCGACGCTGCTGTAGCTCACGCAGGAGGAAGTACCGCAGCTGGATGTGCTTCGCTCTGCCCTCGAGTCGCGGCTCTTGACACAGGAGGATCATGGCCCTGTTGTCAGCGTACAGGACCGGGGCAGAGCTAGGCCGCTCACCTAAGTCAGTGAGCAAGAAGGTCAGCCAGCGGAGCTCCTGTGCCGCCATCGGCACCGGCGTAGATCTCGGCCTCACAGCTGGATTGGGCAACAGACGAGGAGCGAGTAGCTCTCCAAGAGACAGCACCTGAACCAAGGCTAAAGCAGTAGCCCTGCGAGGACCTAAGGGTCTCGGGCGTCGTCTGCCCACGAAGCGTCTGTGTGCCCAGTAAGGACCACTGGCCTGCGCCCTCCAAGCACTAACCCCATGCCCTATGTACTTGCAAGATAACGCAAAACCCTCTTAGCGGCAGACCAGTGCTGAGGTCAGTGCCTGCCTGTGGCCACAAAGGAGGAGGAGGAGAGAAAGGAGGAGGAAAGGAGGGTGGCGTTGCAAGTATGCTGCCGCTGCTGAGGGGGGAGGCTCGCGACACTGCGATTCTGGTACTCAGCTGCTTAGCTGCTTGTCCGGGACGACTGCTGCTGCTGATCTTAACGTTGCGGGTACGGCGATGGAGGCAGGTACTGGTGCGGCGGCGGGAGCTGGTGCGGCGGGTGCTGGAGCGTGGGACCGTTGCCTTGGGGGAGGGAGGGGCTAAGGGCAGACCAAAGAGGGGATCCATGGACCGAGTATGAGGACGGTGGTGAAGGACCAGAGGAGGAGATGCCTGGGGAGGTGGAGGTGGGGGAGGAGGAGGTGAGGGGGGGGGGGAGGAGAGGGGGGGAGGGGAGGAGAGGGAGGTGGGGAGAAGGGGGGGTAGGAGCGGAAGCGGAGTGAGAGGAAGTGGGGGGGGAGCACCGAATCAAGGATGTCACCTGAGGAGGACGAGGAGGGAATGGATTCGGGGGGAGGGGGTGCTGAGGGGGGGGAATAAGAGGGAGAGGGGGGAGGAGAGGGGGGGTGATAGTGTCAGAGGTGGTGAGGGGGCGAGGGGGAGTGGTGAGTGGGTCGGGTGAGGCAGGGGAGGTGTAGTACGGGGAGGATTCGTCAAAGACGGCATCCCGACTACGGATGAGGCGACCTGAAGGGGGGTTGGAGGAACAGGTAGTCAGGGGAGGAGGTGTTTGTGACCGAGGGAAGATGCAGGGTAGACTCTTGGAAGAGAGCTTTCCCGCTGAGTGTGAGCGGTCGGCCGGGTGTATGAGCACATACGCCCTGGAACCCCAGACGCGCAGGGGGGAGACATCGGGTTTAGTCGACGTCCACAGCTCGGTGGGGTGGTGGAGGGGAGGAGAGGGTGGGGATACATGTTAGTGAGGAGGACGGCGTGGAGAAGGGCATAACCTCAAGGAGAAGGTGGGCAAGAGGCGTGAACGAGAAGACATCGGGCGGTCTTTGTAACTTCTCGAACACGAGCCTCTGCCACGCCATTCTGCTCAGGGGAGTGAGGGAGGGTGTAAGTGTGGTGAAATACCATGGGGTGGAGAAATAGGAAGAGAGGTGGTGATTGAGGAATTCACCGTCGCCATCAGAATGGAAGCAGCGAACGGAAGCGACCGCAGTGGGTGCTCGCCTGCTCAGCCCAGGCGATGATGAAGGCCGGTGCCTCGGCCTTCGTGCGAAGGAGGGAGAACGAGGTGTACCGGGAGCGATCGACCACCAAGACGAGGAGGTAGCGGTGCCCTTGACGGGTGGGGGAGGGGTTGGGGGCCCCAGAGGTCCATGTGGACAAGATCCAGGAGCTCTGGGGCGCAGGAAGGGTGATTTTTATTAGGAAGCTTCTTGAGCTTGCTCTGGACACAGATGGTGCAGGCAGGGGCTGGGGAGGGAGGGAGCGGAGGGAGAGTGAAGGGAATGCCATTAAGGAGCCTGGAGGCGACGACCTTGTGGAGGGTGGCAAAATTGGGGTGACTTAGGCGGTGATGGAGGAGGATAGCAGGGGCGATGAAGTGGGTGGCGTGGCCGGGGTAGATTGAGGTGACCCCGACCCGTTGAAATGCATATTGAGAGACGAGGTTGGTGCGAAGGGAGGGGACATGGAAGCCAGTGACTGAACCTGAGGGGAAGAGGGGGCAGGGAAGAGTGGAGGTTTGACGGGAGGTGACCGGGAAAGTTGAATCGGCACCAATGATGGTGGAGGGGTTAGGGAGGGGGGTGAGGGTACCAGCGTCACGAAGGACAGTGACACTGGTGCCGCTGTCAATGACAAACTCAGTGGAATGAGGGGCGGGGTGAGACACAGGGTACTTGAATGAGGTCTCATTAATAGATTCGGGATACATAGGAGGAATAGCAGGAGAAGTATGGCTAAGACGGTTTATGATGCCAGCGAAGGGAAATGGTGTAAATCCAGGAGGTCCAATTGAGGCCTGCACAGGTGTAGTGGGAGCGGAGAGACCGGAGCTCCAGGCGGAGGGAGGGGAGGGCTGCTGCTGGGACTGTTGCGGTTGTTGAGACTGTTGCAGCTACTAGAGGAGCTGCTGCAAGAGCTGTTGTGGATGCTGCTGCAATGGCTGCTGCGGCTGCTGGGTTTGCTGCAGATGCGGAGACGAAGAAGGGGTGTGACCTGGTGGAGGATCTGGGGAGAGAGGTGCTGTGCAAGGATGTGGTGGAGAGAGGTGGAGGAGGGCTGGTAGGCAAGGAGGGTGTGGACATCAAAGGAGTGGGAGGAGATGTGATGGCGGACCAACGAGGGGGGGTGCCAGTGTTGCCTCGGTCAAGCCACTCATCAGTGAGAGCTTTGAAGCACGTGTTGGTGGCGTGAGTGGTTTGGAGGCATCGCTTACCCTTGCTAGGGCCGTTGCGGATGAGATACTGATAGGGAGAGAAGCCGATGGTGCTGTTGGATGCACTGCTGCCCCGCGCCCTCCACTGCGCCCCCACCACAGCCAACGCCCGAGCGTCCCGCCGAACTGCTGCCGCGGCCAGCACCACGTCCGCCTTTTGCCTTGGCAGCATGAGCTGTCGAGGGAGATTGACGGAGGAGCTCGGCTTCAGTCTTCAGAATCCAGGCAGCTACCGTGGCGGAGTCAGGTGGAAAGTTGGCGTGGGCTTCGTTGAATGCGACTCGACAAGAGTCGTACATTGACGTGAGGCCATCGAGGAGGCAACAGACGATGAGGGAGTCGAGAAGAGGAGAGCGGCAATCAGCAAGGCGTGTGGTAGTGGTGAGGAGGCGACGCATGAAGGAGAGCGCATTGGGGCAGGACTCGAGGTTGATGTCGAGGAAAGCGCGGTGGAGCGCAAGGAGAGAGTTGGTGTCCTGGAGGTCGTACGTGGCGCACAACTCTTTCCAAAACTCGGGAGAGGAGGAGGGGTGATTTCACGTCTGAGAGAGGAAGGAACACATGCAGAGAGAAAACGAGGCATTTGCGGTTAGCAATGTTCCATGCAGAGTGACGACGACGGTACTCACGGAAGTCGTCGGCATACTTAGCAGTGGACTCCTTGTGCCGTCGAAGCAGAGCATTGGCAGCGTCGTGGGCGGCCTTTTCGGCGTCATAAGCATGCTGGAGGAGAGTGTATTCCGCCAAGTCCTTGTCATACTGGAGCTTCACGCGGGCCCAGTAATCAGGATCGTCGGTGTAGACCAGTGGGGAGGGCTTGGTGGGGGCCGGTCTCGAGGGAGCGTGAGGTGTGGCTGGAGGTTCACGAGAGACATCGGCAGGGCGCTCTGGGGGCTTCCCGGCGTCAGTGTTGAGGAGGATGTCGAGCAAGCAGTAGTCGTTCATGATCGCAGAGCCAAGGACGTTGGTGAGGCTTTGGGCGAAGGTGGCCTAGTTGACAGGGACGCGGTTCGGCGGTTCCATCGAGCTCTCTTACAGGCCTGCACATCCCCTCGTTCTCCAGGAACCT